TATATAAAAATTGGTATATTTTTGTTTATTGATTCTGTGAAGACGGAATAAAATAAGCAACATCTTCAAAATGAATTCTATTTTAAGAAATGTAATATTGCAATTCAGTTCTAAAACTTGTGTCTACTGTGTGGAGAATGTTCTAAGACTGATCTAACGTGTGAAATATGAAGATTTTTCACTGGACGATGCTCAATAGTAGGGTACATCAACCGAAGTTGATAGCGATCAAATTAAGACATTACTAAGAATAATTAACATTTTAATACGCGGAAGATAGCAATCATATACAATATATTCTAATCAAGCAATGAACATCATTTGTACCAGGTTGATTATGTTCACCGTTTTGACATAAAAGAAGCAAAATACTGAACCGTGTTTAAATATTCCGTTTTTAAAATAAATTGCAGTGGGCGATGAAAAGTTAATAATTTAAAACAACATGGAACGTAAGAAATTGTGGTACAAACGAAATCAACCGCTACTAACCTAACCAATGAAAGATGATGATTTATATACGGTGGAATTGAAAGAGAGTTTTCTATTCTGAGCTTCCTTCGAAGAACCAATCGATACATTCGAACAAGTACTGCTCCAATTAGACCAATTGAAAACAACAGTTAACAAAAAAGGTCTGAAACTAGTTGTGAAAGAGCCTAATATTTATTCAGGATTATGCCAGACTACGATGTTTCAGGCAAAAACTCTTACAATTTAACTGGGATGTTCTCACTTATCCGCTAATATTCACCTCATATTAAGACTGGTTGTATTCTAGTTTTTAAAGATGTCGCTAAATTTTTAAAAAATACCCTAGAAGACTGCAAAATGCATCAAGATCAATTCTTTGCTGAGAAATATAAAAAGTTATGCGAGGTTGGAATTATGAAGATCCCTGAAATATAACAGTGTAGTGGAGCAAAATAATAAATATTTTGTTCAATAAAATTTATGTGAAAAATAAAAACCAATTTCCATATTTTACTTAATGAGCCGAACGACAATAGTAACAATACAAAAATAATTGTACATTCAGATATCATTTCTGTATATTTATTAAAACTATCATGACATTGTATATCTGCTTGCGATCGTAGCAATTTCTGTTCCTGCTTTATACACTTTCCTTAAACCTTGCCACTTTGATAAAGAACATTATTCCTATCAGTCAACAGCGTAATAGATTCCTTCTTCCAAAATGTATTACCAGTCTTTTCCTGGGAGAAATCTGAATGCGATATCACGGAATTTAAAATATATTTTTGCAGCATCTTATTTTCACACATTGGCTACAATCCTACATACTTTTATAATTAAATGGCGATTGTATGAAGGAGAATAGACGATGCATAATATCTGAGTATCTTTTCTTTTGATATGACAATAAATTAATAAATTTAGCATCTTCTCTTTGAAAACATCACTTTACGTCACGAGAACCGTAACCCATTAGGATCGTAGGGGTACGGCATGTTCTGCAGCTATAACAGCAGGGGTGTATCTACGGATGTAGCTCATTCTTTTTCAAGCTGGATTTGAATTCCGAATTTTTCCTTCCACTGAACTGGTTGTCACCTCAAGACAAAAAGAGCCCAGTCAGCCTTTTTATTTAACCCATAATTGATAAGGAGAAGAGATGGATTCATATTTTTTTTGTTTGGATCCGAATTCGAACACAGTTCGTTCAGAGTCTGTCTATATTTCTGAGATGAGGTATTATGTACATTATTTAGATTATTCGGACTATTGTCCTCATCTTTGTCGCCATATTCATCACAATATTTCGGCCGTTGTACGCTCCGGCCTTCTTCAGGTGGTTGGAATTTCAAACATGGCACGTGGAACTAGAACAGTCTACCCCAGTGAGCGAAATAAAGGGTTCAGTTCGAAATTCCAACCACCTGAAGAAGGCCGGAGTGTACAACGGCCGAAACGTTGTGATAAATATGGCGACAAAGATGAGGACAATAGTCCGAATAATGTAAATAATGTACAGTTCCTTCATTTTTCTTTCTGACACGCTAACCGTTACACTACCAGCACATCCATATGAAAGTACAACTTTAATCAAAATGAAAATTATTTTCTTCATCCGTTTGATATATTTTATTGCTAAAAGTCTATAAATTTTGGAACTTAGTCGGTAATTATTTATCAGCCGTTTTGCTAAGTTTCTTATGAAGTGGCGAATCTTCGAATATCACGTGACACACATGCAAACACCCGAAAATGTCTAGTGAAACATATTGCTTTTGTTGAGCTACCTCTGTGTGTGGAGTAAATCAAATTCGCAATGATCGATAAAATAAAATTGTTTTACAAATTAAATTTACTCTTAACACTGTGTAAGCACTTGTGTATTCTTAATTATAGGCATATTGTATTCTACAATGTGTAGAATTTTCAACACAGAACCAGAGAAGGAATCGACAAGTTTTGAATTAGAAACTATTGTCTCACATTTCTCTAGAGATATTTTCTCAGATTAGATTACTACGACACAAGTCCAAATTGAAAAAAAAAACAAATTGAAGTAGGAAGATTGCGTTGCGCCAGTCTTCCAAAGTTGAGAGAAATGTTTTCCTGCTCACATTTTACATATGTATTTTTGATACACAAAATTTATAAATATGCATATTATGTAAAAGCTGTTCATATAACTTGTGGTATCACGTGTAGCGTTTATTGAACCAATCCACTAAAACCTCCATTTACTTGAATTACTACATAAAAATTGACACGTCAAGTTCAATAGGAAAATTAAGGAAAATGAAATAATCATGGTTAAAATACGCTATATTTGAACGCTGTATATGTAAATAAAATTCCAACTTTTTTATACTGCCACTGATTTTAGTTATATTCTATGTTTTACTACAGAAAGGTGTTAAATTATTTTACTAAAGAAAGACAAAGCAATTTATTTTTATAAACGCAAAACCTGGCATCAAGAGAAAAACTGAAACAATAATGACAGTTGTATTTTAAACACTGCGCATATACGCAGACAAAGTTGTTTTTTCTTATTGCTACCCACTGATTTTACTGTTACTCCTCTGCTTCATGTTGGTCGTTTATCAATAAACTAAATATTTCTTACGTTATGAGCACTTACGCTGAAAATAATCGTCACAGGGCGAGCGAGAGATTCGGACTTGGAATTAATCAGGATTTTCCAGTATAAACCAGTAAGATCATGTAATACCTATAAAGTTTCCGTCTTTCTCCTCAGGCTAGATGGATAAATTTGTTTGCACGGAGGCCATGTATCTCGTTACCTATATGAAGGTCATTCTGAGATAAAATATACTGTTGGGGCCACAATTCGAAATGGCAGTTGGTTAAGCTGAAGATTGACACAAGGGTTGTTTTTATTTTTTAAGTACCTGAATGCCATCTCGTCACGAGTTATTAACGATCGTAATGGTCGCTGGGTCACCAAATATTTTGCAACCACAGCAGCAGTGGTATATCTTGAGCAAGATAGCTATGTGGAGCCCATCAGTCTTCAGGCTGATTTTGAATTCAGCGTTTTCTTTCTCCTAGACTGGTTGCTGCCTCAAGGCAAAAGATCCAAGTTAACCCTGTTATTTAAAACATAGCTGAGGTAGGGAGACATTTTTTTAACTTTAGCAACTATTGTAAGTCCCCACTTTTTTATGAACATTTTTCTCTATCAAGCTTAATTTATTAGGCACTGAAAGGAATATTTTGAGCATGCATTTCAACCATTCTTCTTTTCACGTAAATTATTGTCAATAAACAAGTTCTTTCTGTTTCAATTTCACATTGAATAAGAATTCATTTTTATTGTGCGCCTAAAGAAACAACTGATTTTTTTTTGTTAAAAAATCCACCATATGTCTAATTTAAATGTAAGTACATTGCTAATTATTTTATGCTATAAATGAATCGTAAATGATTTTATTATAAAAATATATTACAAATGATTTTGACTGAAAAATGCATTAAAAATCAGGAAGAATGGTAAGGGCAAGATTAGTTGTTCCCTTATAAGGAAACATTCGGCATTCATTAACCGAGTGGTAACGTCGGTTGAAATTTATAAAATCTTTCTCTTAAAACAGTATTTCATGAAAATAGGTTTCTCAAGTCCAGTAGCTGTTATCGCTCTTTCCAGTATTGATGGGGGCTTCCTTCCTAATTTTTTGTTCGAAATTGTGTGGAACGTTAATATCTTGTCGTTATGTCAATACTTTTTACTCGAGTTACATTTGATATCCATTTTAGTCGTTGCTACTGTTGAAAGTCTTCAAATTACGTGGTTTCTGATATTTAGTAAAGGTTTTTGTGATTCTGTAGCGCCAGTCCACGAGGTTTGAAGAAGAGTGGCCTTCGCTAAGACCTACAAGCTTCATTCACTCGAAGCAATTTTTAATCACTGATCCGACGAACCTATTTAAGGTTAATGATTTGTCAGTGGTCAAATTTAAGCAAATGTTTCTGGCAGAATAAATATATATATATATATATATATATATATATATATATATATATATATTTGGTTGGATAGATGTGAGTTTGTGACCCTGGGTTTCACGCTTTAGCGATCGTCAGGTGTCTGACGATCGCTAAAACCCAGGTCACAAACTCACATCTATCCAACCAAATATGTTAGCTCTATCTCTGATATTGAGCGCTTTCTAATAAGTACAGCGCATATAATATATAAATGATTATACGTATATATATTTATTTATATTTTATATATTTATATATATATATATATATATATATATATATATATATATATATATATATATATATATATAGCCATTTTATTATAAAAATGCACTTAAAATAATTTATTCTTGTAATATATTGCAAATGATTTTAATATAAAAATGCACTGAAAATTAGGAAAAAAGTTATTGTAAATGGTCAAGTATTAAATGCAATAACTACTGACAGAACAGTGTTTTTTAGCAGATGCGTGTGTAAACATGCACATTTGTGTTCATATATGAATCGAGTCGATGCCCGAAATACGCATACTCGTTACTTCATGTATCATTATCAGATTTTATCCTTCTTTGCTACGAAGTGCGATTTGTGACCCGTCCAAATTGTACCGCAAGGTCAGGCGCTTTTTTTTTTCTTTTTTTTTTTTTTAGCAAAGTTTATATTTACTACTGTCGACTAAAACTGAGAAAAACCGAATGAACAGGACATTTGTCATTTATATAAAAGTTAGAGGTCTCAGCAAAATAGGACATTTACGCAGCAAGTTAGAAGAATTATTCAATCGATGACAGAAAAGTCTATAAAATTATAATCATTATTATTTATTCAGATATCTTCCTACTTATTCTCCTCCCTTTCATTTCTCCCATTTCTTTAGTTTTCTAAACTTTTTCCTTTTCTCATTTTCTTCCTCACTTTCTTTCCTTTCTTTTTCTCACCGTTTTGTTTCATTTTTTCTCATCTGTTTCCCTCTTATTTGCTATTTTTCTTCTCCCTTTTCTCTTTAACCTTTTCCTCTTTTTTGCTCATCTCTTTATGTACTGCTCTCTTGTCTTCTTTCTCTCACTCAGTTTCTTTTCCTTATTTTTTCTTACTCTTTTTTCTTCTAGTCATCTACTTCTGTTTCTTTAAATTTTTCCTCTTCCTTCTTATCCTTCAAATTTTTATTTTTTTTCTTTTCGCTTCCTTTTTTGATCTTTTCTTTTTATTTCTCCTGTGTGTCCTGATTTTGTGATGTCAACGAACACTCGTTTGACACTTTTGTAATATCAACGAATACTCGTTGTCACTTTCGTAATGCTCGTTGTAGCAGAGACTTTGTAATCGCTGTTACAACTATAGTAACGCCGTTGAACAATACTGGTGTCAGACGCCTTCGAATAACACTCGCACTAATAGTACTTGCTCGATAATACTCGCTCGAATAGTAATCCATATAGTGATTCGAATAGAGGAATAGTATAGTGAATAGAGTAGAGAATAACGGTCCGAAAAGTAATAGACAAGAAATGGAGATCATTTAGACGTCACGCGAACTTCCATATATGCGTTTCCTTTATGGTCACGTGGTCCATTTAATTCAATAATGGGATCGCCTGTGTCTACTCACTGGCGATCTATGTTCAAACTCAAGTGTCGGCAGCGACACTTTGTTCCTATATAACACCTGATTTATTCCCTTATTCACTTGTGATTGTTATTCATTTTTGGTTAAATTTTGGCTAGATGCGCGCGCGCGTGTGCGTGCGTGCGTGCGTGTGTGTGAGTGAAAGAGAGGATGACTAATAAGAAAAGAATGTATGTTTTATTCATATTTACCTCGTACGAAAGACGCTGATTTCTTTTAAAAATTGACACAATTTAAGAATTATTGTAATCATAGAAAGAATATATAAAGCTACACTTTAAAAAAAACTTTCTGATGTGTTTGTGTGTGTGGTTGTGTTTAAAAAAATTAAAATAATAAAAACCATTGGTTGATTTGATTGATTTTTTGTGGGCGCGAAATAATTACAATGATAACCGATAATTTTGTCTAATTTTTGTCTTGAATGAGGGGTTATCAATATTTACACTATTTATATTCAGACTATTGTCCTCATTTTTGTTGTTTATGTGGACTTTTGTCTTTGTTTTGATGTGAGGAACTCTTCCCCAAAGTTTGTGTGTGTGTGTGTGTGTGTGTGTGTGTGTGTTCATTATTTTTGTAGGAAATGGTTTGCTTAGAGGCTTTTCAGTTGGGAATTGTAGCGTTTTGCTGATCAATGTAGCCTTGTCGTTTGCGAGTTTCTCGTGGTGTTTCAGTTCTGCGCTTGTGAGGAGGTTGTCGTGGATGTATTTGCGGAGCAAGGGTGGGGAACATATGGATTTCTGGGTCATCATGTGCGTCTCTCTGCAACTTTTGAGCTGGACTGTGGAGCCAGTTAATTTTCAAAAATTGGAGCCGGATCTGAAGCCAGCAAAAAATGTACTAGCGCCATAAACTAAAAGTTAGCAATAAATTTGCCTCTTTCTCAGCAAAAATTAAACTTATCATTCTGAGCTTGTATTATTGCTGATCAAAAATACATTACTAGCGTGCTTTGTGTGGCTAAGGTTTCTTCTCTGGTGTTAACTTGGAACCATTAAGATCTTTATAGCCAAATTATATATATCATCACACTAATATTATTCTGATTATAACAACAGTCTTTGTTAGTGACTTGTCTGTTGGTTACGCGTTGGGTAACTTTTCACCTTCCTCTTACTAACAATTTCAGCTGAGTGTCTTCGTCTTCTTCTTTCTCTATGATAAGAAAAACTCGATAGAAATATTTTAAGCAAAAAAAAAAAAAGAAAAAATCGTACATACTGTATGAAAAAAAATAAAAAATTTTAGCAAAAAAAAAAAAAAACCCGAAAATTCAAACCATTTTTTATCTGTGTTTATATTTTTTAAATTTCATACCGTAAGTATGACTATTGTTAGAAAGAAAAAATAAAAATATAACTTCCCTAGCTTGTCTAGCGAAATCGCCAATTCGAGAAAACAAATTCGCGACGAGGTGTGAAGTAAATATTCAACCAACGAGAGGCATCGCCTTGGGGAAATTAGAGAAACAAAGAAAGAAATTATCGAGCTTATATTAGAAATAATTATTCAACCACTGAGAAGCATCGCTTTTGGGAAATTATATTTAAAAGAAAGAAATTCACGAGCTGGTGCGAGAAAATAAACTGGCATATAAACTGATACAAAGTGCTGATAACAGACAGATGACAGTAAAAAAAGAAAGAAACTTTGATATAGAAAGATGCAAATGTAACTCAACTTAGCAGTTGGCCTTTTAGAACAATGATGACAAATTTATTTCTACGACTCAACTTAAAAAAAAAACCTTCTACAACAAAAGAACTCTAAACGAGCAGAGGGCTACTGTAATATAAAAATATCGAATTCCGTTCTCTTCGACCGACGAAAAACGCTCCTTGGTAAAATTATACACCATCTTGCTACAAGCGTACTTACTACTTCTCAACCTGAGTAAGTAAATATTTTCAACATTGACTCTTTTCATCTATCACCTTTAAAATACTAATCTCACGCCACTTCAATTAACAACGAATTTTATATTTTTTGAACATTATTTGTTCTTTAGAATTTTTACTGAAACATTGAACTTATAGTTAATAAAGGATAATTGTGTTGTACTAAAATGTGTTGCTAAATTTATATTGCTATCAGTAATCAATTATCGATTATATTATAATAAGAGATTTATATTATAATAAGAGATTAACAAAGGCAGAGGTATATTCATTAGAATTTAGATTAAGAGCCGTCTGATATGGACTATGAATAGCAATGAGCAAAGTCCAAGTTCAGTAAGTATATCAATCATTACTGTGAGACTAGCCGGAAATTTCAAAATGTTGCAGATGGAGCCAGTAAATTTCTGAAGATTTAGATGTCAGCTCCACAACACTGGTTTTGAGCAGCGTTGCCAGGTTTCCACAACCATATTTCTCTAAGCAAGCCATCAAATTTTCCCTTTTCAACATAAAATTTCCCTTTCTTATTTTACACTATAATACAACTTTTACAACTTTAATAATGACCATTCCCGTATATTTAAACTGTTCGTAGTATATTTACTAATTTTGATTATGTATACTGATCACTGATGCTGTTAATTAGCATGATTTGCAATAACAACAATGCATATGTAAGCCTAGTTCTTTGTGTTTGCTAATATCTATTTACGTTTTGGCTAATATTTATTTATCTTTTCAGAAAAAATTAATTTCTCTAATAATTTTAACCCATTAAGTCCAAAAAAATTAAAATGAACTTTGAAAGAAGAAAATAAGACGTTCAATGATCAATGGAAATTGCAATTTTTTAGTGTTTAACAGTAGTAAAATGTCTTGCTTGCTTTGTGATACAGCAATTTGAACATTTAAAAAATGAAAGCGAATCAACATTATGTTATACATAAAGACAATAAATATAATAAATAAAAGGGTGAAGCTTGAGGGATTGCACTGTAGAAGGATAGAAAGCAAAAGCAGCGACAATTGTTCTATTCTGTATTAAATTCAGGAAATGCTGCAAGAGAAACAAGCTATAAAGTTACATATCTGCTTGAAAAAAAAAAGTAAACCATTCCGTGATACACAGCTCATAAAGGGACGCATTGTAGAAGTCGTAAAATGTTTAGATCCAGATAAAGTTAACAAATATAAAAATGTACCTCTTTCAAGAAGGATAAATACAGATCGACAGCATGAATTGGCCAGTAATATAACAGGGCAGCTCCAAAATATAATAAAAAAAGACAATGTATACTTCTCCTCAGCTTTGGATAAATCGACAGATTCCACTGATTCAGCACAAGTATTGTATTTTATTTGCGCAACAACTGACGATTTTCAATTATTTGAAGAATTACTTGCTTTAGGAAAGACACGAAGAATAGATATTTTTAATAACTTCAAAGAGAAATGTCATAAGGGTCGGCTGAATCTTACTAAATTGGTAAGTGTGTGTACTGATAGTGCTCCAGCTATGATGGCTAAAAATGAAGGTTTCATTGTACATCTAAAAAGAGAAATCATAGTTCCAAATACTGATTTATTTTCATTGCATTATACACCAGCAACATCTCTGCTCAAAATCTGCTATTTTAAATAACACCTTACAAAAGATTATAAGTACTGTGAACATGAGCAAATGGAAGTTTGGAAACATTATGATAAATGATGAGTCAGTCGATGTTGGTCGACCGGCTGATCGGTTGAACTCTCTGCCTTCGGGCGGGGAGGAACCCGAAAGAGGCTACGCCGAAGGGCGGATTCTCCTTCGGGGAGGTAAACCGACCCTGAACCCGTTTATACGGGTTCAATGGGCATATTTTGGGCCGAGCCCACGGGCTCGGAGATCCCACGTTAAAAAGGCCTTGTGCCACATGACGCCCTCGTGGATGGGTGTCATTGAATATCGTCTGTCAGTCAGTAGTTCATGTCGAGTCAGTAGTTCAAGTCGAGTCAAGAGTCGAGGCAGAGGCAGTCCGAATTATAGTCGCGTTCAGACAATTACTGGAGACATTGGAATAGTGATACTGGTCGAGACTACATCGTTCTCTCTACTAAACCTGATTGTTCATACTAACACTTCTACTTCTCTATATATATTCCTGTTTGTAATATATCTGTGTTATTCCATACCTGTGTTCGCGTTCTTCTTTATTGGTTCTACCTTGGACTATCACCCGGGGTACAAGGTAGAACTGTTTCTACGTCTGTTTTTATTAAAATATATATTTATTAAATTCTATTTTATTCATTATTTACCTAAGATATGAAATATGTAATTGTAAAAAAATCATTTGGGGAATGCGGTCTCTATGAGAGACGATGAATTTCAATGTGGCCTTCATGCACAAAAAGGTTCCTCACACACCACCAATCGATCTAGAGTATTTCTAAGCGCTTTCTGTGTTGACTTTCTCCACAATGCAGTTGAGTAGAAACGTTTATTTTCTGTTTCTCAGGGAGCAATCTGATAATAGGAACATATTGTATAAATGAATTAAATGATGATATATTTTGTTATTTTTTTCCATGTTTCACCTTTATTTAAGCGTTTTCAGACAATTTTGTAAATAAGTTGCTGAACTTTCACAAATACATCCATGACTTCCTCCTCACATGCACCGAACATACCACGAAAAGCTTACAACTAACAAGGCCACGTCGATTAGTGTATATATATATATATCGTCGGCTCCCAGTCGTGTCCGAGTATCGGGTTCTGTCAATCTTTTAAATCCTATCTTCACGGTTGATGTTTATGTTTGACATGACTTGCGAGGCCCAGTCGGTGGTGGAATAGTCGCGGATAGTGCTCACAGGGGAGGGGAGGGAGAGGACGGGGGTCGTTCACAGCGCTCTCTTCTCCTTCGTCGCCTTGCCTCTTCATTCTCCCTCCTCCTTTCCTCGAAGTCCGCGATGCCATCGCGTATTGATCTCCTCCACGTCGTTCGGTCCCTGGCAGTTTCTTCCCACGAGGACGAGCTGATGTTGGTAAGTGTCATGGTGCGCTTTAGTTGGTCCTTGTAGCGTATTTTAGGTGCTCCTCGTAGTCTGGTCCCAATGGCCAGCTCACCATATAGGATTTTCTTGGGGAGCCTGGAAGGATCCATCCTGTGGACTGTGCCCAGCGGAGGCGGTGGTAGATGATAGTGGCCTCGACGCTGCTCACTGAGGCTCTGTCCAGCACTTTATATATATATATATATATATATATATATATATATATATATATATATATATATATATATATATATATATATGTGTTTTTAATAATGCTGTCATTTTTTTTAATTTCAAGTTAATAGATTAAATTTAATATTTACAATAAGCAAAATACTTTGCTGCATTTCAACCTGAATTTACATTGATTGAAATGAATTTCTTCTCTGATTATCAATAAATTCTATAAAATCGTCCATATTGACAGATTTGTCAATACAACATAATTCTCTTTATTACAAATAAAGTTTTTCAAAAAATGAAATATACTTTTCTGAAATGCTATTTGAGATAAAATATCTGATTTAAAGTTTAATTACTCTGAAATGAATCAGATGTTACTGTCTTTTAATTTAAATATCGCAGTAAAATATTTTTAACAAAGAGGTGAGTGTTTTTATGAAGTGTTGACATTTATCGACAGCCTGATGTTTGGAAAATTTATTTAAGGAGAAGAGAATAGACATTAACTTACATGACGAATACAATGTAAACGCCTTTTTTACACAATTTTTTTCTAACTACCCAGTAATCTTAAAAATTTTAAATATTTTAAGCATTCTATTTTGATTTTACTGAAATTTAGATCCTTTGGCTGTATAATCATACGTACGAAGACTCTTGTTGAGGAAAGGTTAGAAAATTACCAATAAATTTTAAATTTACAATAGTTACCGCTCCTAATTCTTGATAATACTGTGTATGAACGTCCGTATTTATAAAAACCGGTACGTTTATACACACAAATACTAGGGATCTCGGAATTGTAGTAAGCTTTTCCATTTATAATTAGTAAATACAGTTTTTATTTAATAACAATATCACTTGATCACCTATAAATTAACAGCGAACTTCAAAATATTTAAATGCTTATACATTATTCTAACTAAAATTTAAATAAAAATGAAAACAATTCTTGTAAAAATTCATTATCCATCGGAAAAAAATTGTTTAGTTAGACAATAGTATCCATGATATACTTTATTTACAAAAGCAATTAAAAGCTTTTCTAATTAAATAATATCTTAGTTTTATTGAATATTTTATTTTATGATTCGGTGCAGATTTTCTGTAACTGAGGCTCTTGATTGACAAAAAAATAAATAAATGATCCTTACAACTAATATAAACATTAAACTCTACAAAAAATGATTTCTGGACATGTCATGAAATTATATAAGTTTATTTCATTTCTTAATAAAATCCAACAGTTATCTAATTGTTGCAAATCAATGTGTTTTTCAGCTAAAAAAAAAAACAAACAAAAAAAACGCTCAAATTTCCCATACAAATTGATGATTCCATCTTGACGCCAGAAAAACAAGATTTTTAACCAAAATTTTGAAGGTTCTAAAAAAAATAATTTTTGCATAAAAAAAAACTTTGTTCTCTTCCCTTAATAATAAGACAAAGATTTTGACAATAAGATTTGGGCATTCTTTCATCATATATGCTCATTTTTAACGAACCTTTGTAAATAAATATATAGCCACAAAACTTAAGATCGGCGACAGGGTATACAAACTTCACAAGCAATAGGCTTTTATTACCGTTAAGGGCCATAAGAGAAATTTCCCCAACAACCCACAGTTCTGATTGCTTAACCCCTCTAAGAATAATATAGGCAAGATCAACAAAGCCATAATTGAACGAGTATGTAATTACACCAGGAATGCAACAGGGATCAACCAGTGGCGAAATACCAAAGACGCTATAAATTGGTTCGCTAATATTAAAAAATAAAAGCAAGTGTACTTTTATGCAATTTCACATATCCAACTTTTACCAGTCCATCACTGAAGACCTACTAATGGCTGCTATAAACCTGGCTAAGAATTACTGTACCACCACGGACGAGGATACCAGTATAATCATACAAGCCTAAAAGCCCATCCTATACCACGATGGTTCTTTGTGGACCAAAAAAAACAATCCCAATTTCTCTATGGCGATGGGTGCGTTCGACTCCGCAGAAGCTTGTGAGCTAGTCGGCATTCTACTATTATGGAGGCTCAGATATATTTTTGATAATGAAAACACCGGACTGTACAGGGATGACAGAGTGATTCTTCTACGTAACTCCAAAAAATTACCAGCTTAAGAAACAATTAAACAAATTATTTAAGGATCACGGATTTAACGACACCACTGTCACCAACTTCAAGGTGATCAATTTCCTAGACACTACGTTCGATCTATCTAGAGGAGTGTACATGCCTTATAATAAGGAAGTTTATAATCATACATATATTAGTAAAGAATCTAACCACCCACCGTGTAACCTTAATAACCTCCACAAATCTGTACAACATAGACTCTCCACTAACTCCAGCAGTAAACGCATCTTTGACAAATACAAAATCAAATATGTTGATGCATTAAATAAAAGAAAGCACAATATTGAACTAAAGAACCTCCCTAACATTAGTGCGAATACTAATAATAAATGTAAGAATAGAAAGCGCAACACTATTCGGTTCAATCAACCCTTCAACAGTAACATCAGGACCAATATCGGTAGAATCTTTCTTAGGTTAGTACACAAAAATTTTAGTCATAATCCCTTACTCAGAAAAATCTTCAACAAGAACAACGTTAAGGTTAGCTATAGCTGCACTAAAAACCTTGAAGAATATTTAGCCCAACATAATAGTGCAACCTTTAACAATTACTTAAACAGCACTAGTAGCAGTGGTAGCATTGATGATCAAAAATGTAATTGTCGTAAAGGTACCCTCTGCCCCATGATCGGTAAATGCATGTATAAAGAAGTTATCTATAAGGTTAGCGTCAAGCACAATGACCAGATTAAATTTTATTTCGGATCTATCGCTAATAATTCGAAAAAGCGTTTCTATCATCACATAATAACACTTAGCAACAAGAAATATGCAAACGCCACAGCACTAAGTTTTATTGGGGTATCAAAACAAATGCCTACACACTTCATGTAAATTGGGAATTCCTAGCCCAAACCAAACCATTTTCTGGCAGGAGGGGCGATGCAACCTATGTCTCTAGAAAAAGAATTCATCCTCAAAAATATTAACAATGTAAGTCTACTTAATAAGTGGAACGAACTCATGATCGCCTGTAGGCACAGAAAATCGTTTCTCTTAATATACTAGAAGCCCGATTAAATTTCTCTTTTTTATTATATTTTTCTTTTATTAAGCTTTAGGTTTCATATCCGCTTATCTCCCGTTAATCTGACAAGCGTTATTATATCAGACCCAGAGCAGCGTCTCCAGTAATAATTTTAAATTTCTATTTTTTCCTTTATTCATTTTTTTGTTTAATTTCCTCTTTTTTGTAAAAATGAACCCTACCAGCACCTCATTTCCTGTACCTTTTGTACTATTTTATTTTTGGACTATGAAGCAGAGTCTCTCATGTGACGTCTGTGTATTTTTATAAAAACATGATATACTTTGTGCCTGATGAGCTGGAAAAAAAAAAAAATAAGTCGCACACCAAAACGTAGTTTTATATATATATATATATATATATATATATATATATATATATATATATATGGGTAATTTGCTTTTTAAACCCCACGCTAAATAGGTAATAAAAATTTGCCGAATAGTTATATTTAGGTGTCAATTTACATGCTTAATTCGAAAATAACGAAAAACAAAATATTGATAAAATCTACCGTTTAGAAGTTATCGACAATAAAAATTCGGACTCCTTCGCGTTACGGCACGGCAGCCATTACTGGCGTTGTTTGCATACATTCGCTGCAGATCCGATTTGCACGGAAGATTTAATTGTTAACGGCCTTTTTACAGTTCTTACTTGACTGAATTACTGCGCAATTAAGGACTCATTGCGTGCACAATAAAAAAAAAATTATTACGCAGCAAATATATATATATATATATATATATATATATATATATATATATATATATATATATATATATAATAATTAGAGACAAGTCTGAGACAAGGTTGTAATTGTAACATTCAATAAGCTCAAATTTACTATAATATTAGTGGTCTAAGAGACTAGCTTGCTGCCAAGTAAGACGAAGCATCAACATAGCATAACAGTATTTTTGCTGAATTGTGTGGCGTTTCTCTGGAATGCATCGTAGACAATAATATTTTTTCCCACACTTAGCTCTTTATTATTATCGATGCCCACATTATTATTAGCAATGCAAAAATTGTACAGTGCCAATGAAGGATTGAACTTACAGCAGTCAAAATATTTTGTAAGACTAGCGAGTTAAACGCTGCTTCAACTTGAGGCGTTTAAGCTTAATTTGTCACAAGGTCACAAGTATGGTTCATCCAGTGTGAACAGAATTGTAGATGCTAAAAATAAATCACTGGAAGGTGCTTCTCTTATTAAGTTTAGCTTTGACGTAACGCCACAAATGTTGGAATCGAACTCGGTATATTAGTAAAGGTCTGCAAACATTTTACTCGCCATTACTTTACGGGGGGAGGGGGTTATTTCAAAAGTTATCTCTCTGTTAGAGAACATAGAAATATGTCGTTTTTACATGCAGAAAAAGTAAAGCATTTAAACACACATTTAGAACACACGCTAAAGCGGCAGCAACGCCATTGTATTAAAATATTCTGTCCTAATTTATATGAATGAAAAGATCTAGGATATTTTTTATTGAAATTTGCATAATAATAAATGATAAATGTTTTGTCTTTAGCGCTCCATACTTCAGGCATATCGACCTTCAAGAGGATGTAGGGGAATTTTTGTAAGTGTTCCTTTACGTGTCACCGTGTATTTAATTATGCAATTAATTTTAGGTTAACACTTTGGCGACTTGAGATTATTATATAAATATTATTATTAAGGTCAACCATTATTAACCATTTCTCAACCTAAAAGAAAATACCGTCTGAACTCGTGTAAAAATCGACATATGATTTTTGTACAAAACAATTATTAATCTGTTTATGTTTCATGTGGCT